ATAAAAATGTTAATCAAGCATTTAAAAAAATGTTGAACAAGTATTTGAAAAATGTTGAATGAGTATTTGAAAAATGTTGAACAAGTATTTGAAATCTGTTGAACAAGTATTTGAAAAAAAAAGTTTAATAAAGTATTGAAAATGTTGAACAAGTATTTGAAAAATGTTGAACAAGCGTTCGGACAATGTTGAACATGTATACAAAAAATGTTGATCACTTATTAAAAAATGATGAATGTTAATCAAGAATTTGAAACCATGCTTATTGCAAATCACCGTGCTTATTGCAAATCACAATATTTTTTTTGATTTTGCTGAGATTCAATGCTATGCTGCATATAGTCCTCTTCCAAGACTCCCGAATCTCCAAATGTGTAGACCATACATACATGCGACGATGTCATAGATTGGCTTGTGTCTATCTTGCGTATGAGCGAACTCTATGATATAGGTTGGTGCGTACACATGCCATACTATATGTATAAGGAAGTGAGCAAACCAATAATTATTGTTTTACTGAGAAATGATAACTAGAAAAGGCACTAATATAAAAGCTCATTTGCAAGATAGTAACATTTGCAACCACAACAGGCACATTCTCACAAATACCGACAGGTATAGAAGTTGATTTATTGGCCATATGCAAAGGTATTTCAGTAGGTGACTATAGACTTGCAAGATAGGATCAAAAACTCACATATATTCATGAAAACATAATAGGTTCAGATCTGAAATCATGGCACTCGGACCCTACTGACAAGCCTTAAGCATAGCAAAGTCATAGCAACATCAATCTCAGAACATAGTGGATACTAGGTATCAAACCCTAACAAAAATAACTTGATTACATGGTAAATCTCATCCAACCCATCACCGTCCAGCAAGCCTACGATGAAATTACTCACGCACGGTGGTGAGCATCATGAAATTGGTGATGAAGGATGGTTGATGATGACGACGGCAACGAACCCCCCTCTCCGGAGCCCCGAACAGACTCCAGATCAGCCCTCCCGATAGAGTTTAGGGCTTGGCGGTGGCTTCGTATCGTAAAACGCGATGAATCTTTCTCTCTGATTTTTTTCTCTGTGAAAGTGAATATATAGAGTTGGAGTTGACGTCGGTGGAGTTTCAGGGGGGCCACGAGGCAGGGGGCGCTCCCTAGGGGGGCGCCCCCACCCTCGTGAACAGGGTGTGGGCCCCTTGACGTTGATTCTTTCACCAATATTTTTTATTAATTCTGAAAAGTTGCTCCGTGGATTTTTAGGTCATTCCGAGAACTTTTATTTCTGCACAAAAATAATACCATGGCAGTTCTGCTGAAAACAGCGTCAGTCCGGGTTAGTTTCATTCAAATCATGCAAGTTAGAGTCCAAAACAAGGGCAAAAGTGTTTGGAAAAGTAAATACGACGGAGACGTATCAGTGCGCACCCTCTTGTCCGGCCTCCTCCTCCTCCCTCCTTTATATATGGGGGTAGGGGCACCCCAAAGCACAACAGTTGTTCTCTTATCCGTGTGCGGTGCCCCCCCCCTCCACAGTTTAACACCTCGGTCATACCATCGTAGTGCTTAGGCAAAACCCTGCGCCGGTAACATCATCAACACTGTCGCCACGCCGTCGTGCTAACGGAACTCTCCCGCCCTCAACTGGATCAAGAGCTCGAGGGACGTCATCGGGCTGAACGTGTGCTGAACATGGAGGTGTCGTACGTTCGATACTTGGATCGGTTGGATTGTGAAGACGTTCGACTACATCAACCTGTTACTAAACGCTTCCGCTTTCAGTCTACGAGGGTACGTGGACACACTCTCATGTCTTGTTGTTATGCATCTCCTAGATAGATCTTGCGTGATCGCAGGATTTTTTTTTTTGAATTACTACGTTCCCCAACACTTAGGTCATCCACTTGAGGAAAAATTGCTACTGCCCTACAAAATTCTACGCTTGGGGGCCCAACACGAGTCTACAAGAATAAAGTTGTATAGTAGACATCAATGGGCGCCTGTCATCATACTCCCGGGGCACGCACGAACCATCCCTCGGAGGGGGCGTACGCACTTGACGGCGGTCGTCACGGTGATGACGAGGATCAAACTGCCCGTGGCCTCGTTCCAGGTACTGGTCCTCGCAATAACCACGATCTTCACGCCGCGGAGGTGATCTTGGCTGTGAGCGGACTGAACTGTGTCCGCCCTGACGGATCTGCTGTGAATCCAATTGCGTGACCGAGACATAGCTGAATTCTACTCCCCGGCCGCTCTAAGCAGCGTCCGAACCTGCTCTAGGCCTCTACCAGCCTCGGAACGGGGGACGACTGGATTGAATCTACAATACGCGGCCGCTGTAGCATTCTGTATCGGAGTGCGGAATACCTGGAACTCATCCCGAGTGGAACATGTTGGGAACAATTGTCATTGACGTCAATTGGGATTCGGAGGCTATCGATGAGCGCGATCATCGAGTGAACGTCGGAGATCCTCCAGACGCGCATGTTTTCCAGATTGGCTACACGCGCGGCCTCCAAAGCCCGGGCCTCGGCAGTCTCTCCAACAATGGGGGTCTGGAGGAGTTTCTCATTCCAACACTGCAACTCTTCTCTTTGCTCCACATTGAGGGCCTGTGGGTAGTACTCGTCGTTAGCGTGTGATGGGCCACTGCTTTCGCCTCCACCACGGGGAAATCCAGGTGGACTATGCTGGGGGCCAACCACAAAGACTTCAACCGCTGGATCGTTACTTTCGCACTCGGAAAACAAATCCGAATGGTCAGAAGGCAAATCAAACAAGCTATAAAGGGACTCGTCGGGCTCGATCGCTGCAATCTGAGGAGTGGACAACTGTCGAGCCACTGCGTGCTTCACCCACCGCTAAAGCCGCGAGCAACCAGATCACTTGCGACGGCGAGAAACGGGGAGGGAAGACGCCACCGAGGTCGACCGATACTGAGTCGACGGCTGCTGCAAGAGGACGCCGCAGGCACTCGCGCGGAAGTGCACCGCCCCGCAATGGGGAGTGCTTCGATGTCGAGGGGGACTTCCTGGAGCCAGGCCGAATCGTCGGCGATGAAGGTGAGCATGCCGAGACGGATCTCGCGACCCAGAGGCAATCCACCGCTGGAAACCATGTCAATGGAGATCGAAGATCGCAACCTCGTCGGAAGTCGCTAAGACGCCTGCCCTACGGTGGGCGCCAGCTGTCGTGGGAATGGATCTGACAATAGAGATGGGGGTACGTAGGAGAGGACAAAGTCTAGCTACGGCGAGGTTGTACACTCGGATTTACGAGTTCGGGCCCCTCTCGGATGAGGTAACAGCCCTATGTCTCGGTGCCGTGGGGGCTTTGTTGATTGGAGTGTTAAGTTACAGAGAGTGCGAACCCTTGTGCCAGAGGGGAGGGGTGGCTTATATAGAGTACGCCGACCCCTCACAGTCCTCAGTTACGCAAGGGTTCAATGAGAGAAAGTCACAAACGTTACTGGTAACGCCCATGTTTAATGATCTGTAAGGCGACGGAATGAACGCCTGACCGTTGCTATCCAGGGGTAGCTCTAGATCTTTTGTCCTTCGAGTGAATTCTGGTACTCCGAGTGAATAACGACGGTCGAGTGGAAGTGGGGTATCCGAGTGGATCTTGTGTCGAGTGGGTTGCACTCTGTGATGATTCCAGTCGGTATCTTCTTTCTATCTTTGTAGGTCTTGGCCTCCGGTGTAGTGTCCTTGGGTAGGGCATGTAGGTCAGGCCTAGGACCCTACCCTAGGTACATGTCATCGTCAGGCCATGGTGGAATACATCGAGCTTTGGCGCCGCCTTCAGCACATCGCCCTCTCGGATCAGCCAGACCTCCTCCGCCGACGTTGGACTGAGAGCGGGACCTACTCCGCAAAATCATGCTACGTGGCCCTTTTCGCTCGGTCTATACGCGCGCCACACTGGCAACTCACATGGCGGAGCTGGGCGCCCCTCCGTGCCAAGTTCTTTGCCTGGCTTGCGCTCCAAGACAGATGTTGGACCGCTGCTCGTCTAGCTCGGCATGGTCTCCCGCGGCATGCCATGTGTCTATTCTGCGACCAGGAAGCTGAGACCATGGAGCACCTCCTTGTCGGCTGCCCATTCTCGCGCCAGGTGTGGCATGACTGTTTCAGATGGTGCTACCCCCAGGCACTAGCCCCGGCGCCCAATGAGCGTTTTTTGGACTGGTGGCACGTCTCGACATCTAGGGCACCGGCGGCTCACCGGAAAGGGATCGCCTTGCTCATACTCGTGGTAGCCTGGCTCATATGGAAGCATCGGAATTCTTGCGTCTTCGATGACACCACCCCTTCCACCTCACGACTTCTCCATGACATCAAGGAGGAAGCATGTTCTTGGGACCACCTTTCTGGTCACTATTACACCGTAGTCTCCGCAGACTGTTTGGGGCTGAGCATACCCATTTCCTCTCGTGCTCGCACTAGGATCTTCGCCATTCCTATTGTGTACGTAGTGCCTTAGTGCTCCTACCCCAATTCCCTTTTAATGAATGATACGCAAGCTTTGCGTATTCGTGAAAAAGAAATACGTACGTAGAATACAAGGTAGTACACGTATGGGTACTAAGTAATCAGTAGTAGTAAAAATCAGCAACGACGGATCCTACCCTACCCTAGTTATTATCTTCATCAATCAAATAAAATGATGATGAATCCAATCCAATCCCATTCACTAATAGCTTGCTCCGCTAATCTCGTCCACGCCAGAGGCTGACAGACTTCTCTCCGCCGTCCTCCTCGATCTCCTCCCTCCCTGCTGCCCTGTTGCTTTGCTTTGGCCTTTTGCCTTTGGCCTTTGCATCTCTTTGCTAATGCCAATGGCGATGGTGATGTTAATGGCCGCCACCTCGTGCTCCTGGTGACCTTAACCCCTCCCTCCCCTCCCTTCCTCCTCGCTAAACCCACCCCCGCTGAACCAATCTTCCTTCTCATATCATCTCTCGCTAATCAATTAGCTGGTTCATGCCGGAGCAATGAGGCGGGTGGCGCCGGCGACCGTCGCTTCTGCCCACGGAGACGGAGGTGTCCACCAAGGCCTCACCCACCACGGAGATGCCCACGCCTCGCCCACCGCGACGCACGGTTGCGCCTGCCCCTGCCGCCGCGGCAAGGCCACCGCCCACCACGCCGTCGCCGGCAATGCCGGGGGCAACGCCAGCCGCTCGCCGGAGGCCAAAGCCCCCGCCTTGCCGCGGATCTGCATCTGGGACTCCGCCGGCGACGGCACCAAAGAGAAAGAGGCCGCCGTCTCCGTCTCCGTGGCGTGGCCGGACGAGGCCGCCACCCCGCGCACCAATCCGCCGCCGCAACGGTGGAGGCGGCCCGGGAAGACCATCTCCAAGGGCCACCGGAACTACCACCTCATGCTCAACCTGCAGCTCGGCATCAGGCACGCGGTGGGGAGGTCGGCGGCGAGGCCGATGCGGGAGCTCAGCCGGGCCGACTTCGATCCCCGGGACAAGTTCTGGACGCGGTTCCCGCCGGCGGGGTCCAGGACCACGCCGCCGCACTCCTCCGACGAGTTCCGGTGGAAGGACTACTGCCCCATGGTCTTCAGGTAGTAGCTGCCTCTCCAATGCCAACTCATAGATAATCTTCAGTTCAGTTCAGTTCAGTTCAGTCACTTGTTAGTACTTCAACCTGCTCTCTCTGTAAACTGACTCTGCTTGCTTTCTTTTTATGTTGGTTTGCTTCACATAACAGGCACATGAGGAGGAAGCTGTTCGGCGTCGACCCGGCGGACTACATGCTTGCCATCTGCGGGGACGACGCCCTGCGGGAGCTGTCGTCGCCCGGGAAGAGCGGCAGCTTCTTCTACCTCACGCACGACGAGCGCTTCATGATCAAGACCGTCAAGAAATCCGAAGTCAAGGTACCACCAACCAACAATATGATCATGTTTCCTAGCTAGTTTTATTTCATTATATATATATATATATATATATATATATATATATTGGTCATCACTATTTATTTCTGTATTTATTTGCTGAAATTCACCTCCATTCAGTTGCTGATCCGGATGTTGCCGAGCTACCACAAACACGTTAAACGGTACAACAACTCCCTCATCACAAGGTTCTACGGCGTTCACTCGGTGAAGCCATATGGTGGGCACAAGGTGTGCGACCCTTCCCACATGCCAACAACAACTACCTTGGCTCCCTGATGTTGACCGTTTCTTGGTTCATGACACTGACACATGTTCTTTCGCAGGTACGGTTCATCGTAATGGGCAATCTGTTCTGCTCGGAGCACCGGATCCATCGCCGTTACGACCTGAAAGGCTCCTCCTACGGCCGGAAATCCGACAGGTTTGAAGAAGAGACCGGCGATGCAACCACACTCAAGGATCTGGATCTCAACTTTGCGTTCCGGATGCAGCGCTCTTGGTATAAAGAGCTTCATGAGTAAGCTTTCTGCCCTCCCCGGTGATGCTAGCGTAACCATATTGTCTTCCAGCATCATCGAGTCTGAAATGCCATTATTGTTTCTTTAGGCAACTTAGACGAGATTGCGCGTTCTTGGAATCGGAGGGCATCATGGATTACAGTCTATTGGTTGGAGTTCACTTTTGCGATGATATTGTCCCTGCATCAAAGATGGCATCATCTACTTTTACTACTTTTACTACTTCTCCTGGTAAGCAAGTTGGGTGTTACTTGAAGGAAGACATGATTCTGCTAAATGCTAAATAAGCATGGAATTTTTGCAACATTATGGTTTTTTCCCCTAACGTGTGCAATTATATTACCCAGAGCTTTCAGCCAACATGCTGTCGGCATGCCAAAACAGCGTCAGCGTGTCTGAGCCGTGCCTCTCAGCTAAAGATCTGGACAAGATGGCCGATCACCTGTACGTCATAATAGTGCTTGCACACATATGCATCTCTGTAGCTTCTTGACCCTTGCAGAATTAAATGAAATCTAGTCATAAATAGTACCGATAAATTGATAATCAAATAGAGACTGATTAAACCGTGGAGCCTCTTTTGTCTATGTTAAGATATCTGTAAACATCATATATCAGTGGCATGAAAATGAAATTCGATGTCACCCCTTTAAATATTTGCTAAACGACATGATACATTTTTTCTGGACTTGATCAAATATGTTTCTTGCAATATGAGCCTGCTCTTGTTAAGCATAAAGAGTGAAGAAAATCTTTTCCTGACATCTTGGCTTAGCCACTTTGAATGTTTTCCCTGTCAGAAAAAAGGCACCAAATGTGTCGCTATCTCAGAACTCTACTGAATGGGCAACTACTTCCATGCTACTAGTACTTCAATTGTAGTAATCACTCACTTTGTACTACCAAAGCGACATGTTTAGTAATAATACTTTGGATCCCAGAGCTTCAGTTACTAAAATGTCGCCTTTTGCAAATACGTACACTTGTTATAATGGAACACATGCCTTGTTTTAGTGACAAGTGCTACACTTAGTTCTTGCCTCCCTAAGATGTTACACCTGGGGTCGCATTGTCCGTCTCCTTTTGTATAAAACATGAGCTGTCGCCATTACATAGTGCAAACTTGATTGCTGCCGTCCCTAGTTTTCACATAGTGCATGTTCTGGCATCATTTGGATTGCTCGCCCCCCACCTGTAATACCGAGATAGCACGGTCCCTTAATTATTCTATCGTGTTCATCGTTTTCTCTTATATGTAATGTAACTAATACCAACTGGACACTTGGCAACTCCAACTCCAAGTTCATTTCTAACTGTTCTTGTATAATAACTAGTAATACCAATTGGACAGTCGGCAACTCCAGTTTCAGGTTCATTTTTAATCCATCTTCTCTTAGGAACTTCAGGAAACCATTGGCCAGACTGGGTGCACACATGCCAGCTCGAGCGGAGCGCACATCCATGAGCGACATCGACCCTTTCCCCTCTGGTGACGGGGGATTCTCGTCTGGCCGGAGCAAGAGCGGGGGTGAAGCCTACGACGTCATCCTCTACTTTGGGATAATCGACATCCTCCGGGACTACGACATCAGCAAGAGGCTGGAGCACGCATACAAGTCGCTGCAGACGGACCCCAGCTCGATCTCCGCGGTCGACCCCAGGCTCTACTCGCAGAGGTTCCAGGATTTCATGGGCAGGGTTTTCATCAAGGAGTGCTAGTGTACCACATAAGTTTTGATGTACTACTATACACACATCAGTAGAGGTTGTAGTGGCTGAATTTTTTAGACACAGCCAGGGTTCATGGAGAGGGAGGAAGAGGTGGTGTCTGTAAATGGTTTGTGTGATTTGGTTAGTGAGGGGCAGATCAGATCCCTGATTTTGTTTGTTAGTGAGGGTCTCGCTTTGTTTTTTCTCTTTCTTTGGGCTTGTTGAGTTGTGCCCTCAGCAGAACCTTATGACTTGTTGTGGTACTTGGGTGTGTGTGTGTGGACTTGGTGTGGTTGTATGTCCTTTGGCGGTCTGCTTTATCTATAAAGCGGGGCGAAAGCCTTTTTCGGTTTAGTCTCGTGGGCTGCTTTGCTGCCCTATGTATGTATATGTGTGTTGGATTGGTTGGAGTGAAAGGGAGACAAGGTTGTGTTTTTTATGTTTGATGAGAAAGAGAAGATGAGTCTGGTGTAAGCCATGGATGATGATATGATAATAGGGAAGAAATATCTTGTGCAGATACACTATGATGCATGGCACTGTCTCCTAGTTAAATCTAGCAGCATCTGGCTGCTGAGCCCTCTCTCTGTGGAGGCCATATTATTTTGTAATATTTAATTGTTGCTAATCTTGGGTTGGTTCCCCATGGTCCGGAAATACTTGTTATTAAAATGGATAAAAGAGGATGTATCTAGATGTATTACCTTTTATCCATTTTGATGACAAGTATTTTTGGACGGAGGGAGTACTATACAAAGGTATGCATGAATAGGAGGATGTGCTGGTGATGTGGATTAGTACTAGTAGTAGGTGAGATCTTGTTTGTGATTAGCAGCCATAGTTTAGTATTAGTAGTGGTGGTTAGGGTGGTGTGGTAGGAGAGGAGTAGCCGTGTTGAATTGTTGGGCATTGGTCAGAGTGCCAACCAGTGGAAGGAAGGAGCAGAGAGAGTTTGGTCAAAGTCCACTGGCAGGACCGAGGCACTTGCACTATTTTTAAGCCTCAAGTTGCTTTTTATATAGGAGGTGTTAAGAACATTGTGAAGACCTATTTTGTTTGGAGTTTTCTCCAAAAAAAGATGATTTTTCTTTGCACAACTACATCTACATAGCAGTAATATATGACAAGTACTCTCTCCTTCTCCTTTTACTCTGCATACAACGTTTGTCTGAAGTCAAACTTCATAAAATTTGACACTAAAGTTATACGGTATGAAAATTAATTTCAGGATATTGATATCATACTATGAGTATTGATATTTTTTTCCTATAATAAAGTTGCTCTAACTTTACTAAGTTTGACCTCGGATATATCTTATATGCAAAGTACATAAAAAAAGGAGGGAGTATGTGTGCCTGTCACTCCAACGGCCTGTGGCGGCGAGGGGGATCCCGGTGCCTTCGCTCCGGTTAGTAGTTTAGGTTAGGTTTTTTTGTCCTTGCGGGTGTGACGCTCGGACGGATGGCGGGGCTTCTTCTTCGAGTTTGTCTTGCGGACTCAGATCCTCATCGAGTTCGTCCATATGGGCGTAGTTGGTGGAGCTTCGGCGTAGATTTCCGCCATCTTCTTAGGGCAGTGATGTTTCTGGTTTCTCAACATGTGGAGTGATTTGGTGTCAGGTGTTTCAGATCTATTGTAAGGGTCCAACGAGAATGACTGCGGTTCTAGGGCGATGGTCCTTAGGGGCGCCGCACAAAGACTTCCCGGCTGTCATCGACAAGGTCAAACCGATTCCTATAAGGAAGCGGCGCGTCTGCGAAGTCAATCATAGACAACTTGTAGTTGACAGGCACCCCATACCGTGTAAGGCAGGAATAACGCCGGGAAGCCCGAAAGGGATTAGTCCCGAGAAGAAGGAGGGAAAATTCCCAAGCTTTGAAAAATACGGTTTATCATGTTTAGAGAAGAAAAAAAATACTAGCGGGAGTACCGTATTATACATTCACGATAGTAAAATATGGCGGTTATGTTTGAAAAAAAAACTTCATATGGATGTCAGAATTTTTTTATACAGTAGTAGTAATATAAATAAGGTGAAGAATGTCAAACAAGATATGTATGAAGAGATAGATAAGATAGATAGCCGCATGGGTAGTTTAAATTTTGTATTCGGTTGTAACTATGCTTCTTATCTCCTATACTTCTTCTCCCTCAAGTTATGTATCTCCAACAGAATTGTACGCGTATCAGGGACTCGCAATCCCCTATATAACACGTACCACGTCCCCCTCGAAGGGTAAGACGTTTCCGCATCGCACATGGTATACAGAGCATCCTCTTCCAATCTCATCTAGCCTAGCTCATCGCCATTAGTGCCCTAGCCATGTCTTCCTCCGGCTCCTCCCACCCAAACCTCAACCAACATGTCACGGAGAAGCTTACCCGCACGAACTATGTTCTGTGGCACGCCCAGATCGTGCCGCAGCTGCGGGGCGCCGGTGTCTTTGGCTATGCCGACGGCACCACACCGGAGCCGGCCCGACTCCTCGTCACCAAGGACAAAGACGGGAAGGAGTCCTCGACGCCCAACCCTCTCCACCCAATCTGGGTACGGGAGGACCAGCAGGTACTTAGTTATCTGCTCAACAATCTGTCCAAAGAGGTTCTTGTGCAGGTGACCGCGATCACCACGTCGTCCGTGCTCTGGGCTGCTCTGGCGGGCATGTTTTCGTCGCAGTCCCTTAGCCGGGTGAACAACATCCGCACGACCCTCATCAATGCGCAGAAGGGGAACCAATCCGTCGCCACCTACTTCGCCCACATGCACGGCCTCGCGGACGAACTCGCCGCGGCCGGCAAGCCTCTGCAAGATGACGAGCTTGTCTCCTACATCCTCCATGGGCTGGACATGGACTACCAGCCCCTGGTGTCCGCCCTCGACGCCCGCATCGTGCCTGTCTTCCTCGACGAGCTCTTCTCCATGATGAGCAACTTCGACCAGCGCGTGGCGCTCTTCCAGTCCTCGGGCGGCTTCAAGTCGTCGGCCAACGCCGCTTTTCGTGGCCGCGGCGGCGGCTCCTCTCATCAGCGCGGGTCACCTCACAACAGGGGCAAGGCCTCGGGCGGGGGACACGGCAACAACAACTCCAGCACTCGCGGCGGCGGCGGGCGGCCCTCTTCTGGCAACAATAGGGGCCGTCGTGGTGGCTCCACCAGGTCACGTCCATATGCACCTCGCTGCCAAATCTGTGGTAAGCTAGGGCATACAGCCAAAGACTGCTGGTATCGCTACGACGACGACGGCGACTCCTCCCAAGACGAGGACAAACTTGCTGCTGCTGCGGATGGCTCCTATGGAATCGACACCAACTGGTACGTCGACAGTGGCGCCACCAACCACATCACCATTGAACTTGAAAAGGTGACAATGAAGGAAAAATATCGTGGCAAGGATCAAATCCACACAGCTAGTGGTGAAGGTATGAGGATTAACCACATTGGTCACTCAATTTTTCATACCCCCCTAGAAAAATTCATCTTAAGAAAATCTTGCATGTTCCTAGTGCCAATAAAAGCCTTCTCTCTGTTCATAGAATTGCTCTTGATAATCAAGTTTTTCTCGAATTTCATCCATATTTCTTTTTGATCAAGGACCAGGCTACGAAGAGAATCCTCTATCGAGGTAGATGTGTTCGAGGGCTTTACCCGTTGTTCCGGAGCGCACAAGATTCAATAAATAGGCTTTTGGTGTTGTCAAACTCTCGTCAACATGATGGCACGACGTTTTGGACATACTTCTTTTGCTTTAGTTGAAAAACTTCTTAGGAAAATTAAGCTCCCGTATGTTGGTGAGCGCAATGTTGAAACTATTTGTGATTCCTGTCAGCGAGCTAAGAGTCATCAGCTCCCCTATCCAATTTCTACTAGTGTGTCTACTCAACCATTGCAATTGATTTTTTCTGATGTTTGGGGACCGGCCCCTAGTTCTGTCGGTCGACACACTTACTACGTAAGCTTTATTGATGACTATAGCAAGTTTTCGTGGATCTATCTTCTTAAGAAAAGATCTGACGTTTTCCAAGTGTTTAAAAATTTTCAAGCACTTGTTGAGCGTAAATTTGATTCCAAAATCATCGTTGTCCAATCTGATTGGGGAGGGGAATACGAGAAGTTGAACTCCTTCTTCCAAACCCTTGGCATCTCACACCATGTGTCATGCCCCCATGCTCACCAACAAAACGGCTCAGCTGAGCGTAAACACCGTCACATTGTTGATGTTTGTCTTGCTCTTTTAGCTCATGCGTCCATGCCATTAAAGTTTTGGGACGAAGCGTTTCTTACTGATGTTCACATTATCAACATGCTTCCTAGTCGTGTCATAAATAATGAAACTCTAGTAGAACGCCTTCTTCATGTCAAACCTGACTATTCCACTCTTCGTGTGTTTGGGTGTGCGTGCTGGCCTAACCTACGCCCATACAACAAACGCAAGCTCATGTTTCGATCAATCCAATGTGCTTTCCTTGGATACAGTGCCCAACACAAAGGTGTAAAGTGCCTTGACATCTCCACTAGTCGAGTCTATATATCATGCGACGTGGTTTTTGATGAGACCAAATTCCCTTTTTCTGATCTTCATCCAAACGCTGGTGCTCTACTTCAGAAAGAAATTCTTTTGCTTCCTCCAAGTCTCTCTGGTTATGATCAAGGGGGTATTGATAATTGTTGTGATCATATGTTGGCTAACCCTCTTGCGCATGAGTCACCTGATGATGTTACAGGAGCACCACACTATGGAAACAGAGAAGAAAATCGCGAAGAAATCAACCCAAACGGTGAAGAAATCCATCCAGATGGCCCTCATCACATGTGTCGCGGCGAGGGAAGCAAATCCCCCTCGGGATCAGAGCTGCAGATGCCCAGGCAATCGCCTCTGGGATCCGTGCCAACGACCAGCCGCATGACCGCGTCGGACGCACCAGGCGCGGTCGGTCGCGTGGGCTCCAGCAGCTCGCTGCATGACGCGCGGCCCCCTCCGACATGGCGTGACGCGCCCTCCAGCCCGCACC